CCAATATTAAGTGTTGTCACGGACCCTTAAACCCTAATAACTTTATACATGGCTTGATCAATCAGTAAAGTATCTGATCCATTTTCTATTGAGTCTAATCTTTGAATGTTGTCCATAGAACCAAAGACAAGTTCCGGCAACAAACGAAACGCTAAAAAGAGCGCTCGACGTGACTGAGCGCAAATTGGGTCTTCCGTGTTTGCGGTTCTGAAGTTGCTTCCTTTCATTGAGGAGTAGCTGGCGGTGCAACAGCCTAAAATTGTTCGGCAGTTCACGACCTCGTAAACGGTAACTAGGTAGGCCACCATTCGGTTTGTAACAGAGTTGACACAATCGATAGATGAGCAGAATTATAGAAGTTCGTGATGATTACACTTACGGAATCTCTCGTACAGCTTTAAACAGTGACAGATTCGCAGTAAGCACATTTAGGGATAATTCGTTCTGATAAAGCCGTAGTGTTTAGACAAGCAGCAAATACCCGATATTTTTAGCTTCTAACTCTATCGGTGAAGGTCAGTGGTCTGTAGGGACATGCGGCAAAGGAGAAGTAATTATCGATGAGTTCTGCAGTAGCATTGACAAAATATTACAAATGCATGAAGTTCGGTTCGCTATCAGCGCGGCTAACACTAGCGGCATGCTCGACACACTTTGATTGAAGCTTGTTGGGCGTCCGCTTAATGATAGAGCTGATTGTTGTTGACGCGTTCAAGTCGAATTCAGGTTTCAATTGTTTGCAAGCCAATGGGCAAAAACTCAGCTGCACAGCTAAACGAGGAAGAGCTGCAAAATCGTTAGCCGTGATGTAATGGCCAGCAGTTAGAGCATTAATGTAAGTCGTAGCAATCATGTTGGGCCGTCCGAAGCGCATACACAAAATGTTAATTATTTCTTCATTACCTTAACCAGCATGCGCCCAGGTGCCAGCTTTCGGACTAAATTCGAATTTTGGGAGATATCCATTTTATTGGTGTTTTACGCGGATTTTTGCTCTATAATATAAGTACCTTCTTTATTTCGAAAAATGCTTTTCAGCATAGACATAATTATGTGGGTCGGATGGCTTTTCATTTTTACAAATTCAGCTGATCTTGAGCGAAGGATCATTTTTTCGTTCCTTCCAAACATGCAAAATTGCATACGCACGGTCCATGTCAGTGAGTGGCGACTCTCGGTTTACTGTAATTCGTACGGTACGGAGGAGTGGTAAAGAGCTCGGCATTTTACTTTCTTCCTATGCTTTTAAGAGTAATCTATTTATTTTATGTAGTATTTAAGCAACAGCTGCTGATGTTGATGAGGGAAATTTAGCATGACGCACCAATTAAGTATCTGCGAATCTGTCTGTGCCAACACTGGCACCGGTATATCATTACTTCACTAGATGCAACGAATGCCTCTGAAAGGTTTGTTTACTCCAACGTATGCACGGAGGAATTTCATTTGTGCCGGTGTACGGTAGTCTAATAGTAAATTCTACAATCATGCGAAGTCACCAATACCTTTCTGCAGACAGCTTTGGACATCCAACAAATGACTTGACTTTCCAGGTAGTTTTACACGATGCACGGTTTGAAGCGAGTATCTCAGTGGCGCACATCATTAATATTGGAAAAATTTCCGTCGTGTACATCCGAAGATGTCCGCATCCTCACGAGCCCTCATGCCGTGAACGCGCTATCAAGTGTGAAGGTTAGGTGAATACTAAACTTAGCTCATGTCTGGTGGGAACACCGCGTGAGCAATGAGCGTGTTCGACGTCGCGTATTTGGTGCAGGAAGAGCGAGTGAACCGCTCAGCACCATTATATCACGCACCAGGCTCCGATGGCTGGGCCACGTGTTGCGCATGCCAGCACACCGACTCCCGCGAAGTACATTGTTTGCGCGTTGTGGGTACGGTTGGAAGAGGAGGAGGGGAGGCCAAGTGATGACTTGGTCGAGAGAAATGAAAACCCTCACTTCGAAGTTGGCGTCGGTTGGTGCATCCCGACTGCCTGGCTGGGGTCCTAAGGACGATGAACACGTTTGGTTGGACACACTTGCTGATATGGCTAGGAGCCGGCACCAATGGCGTTTGTGTTGTGATTTCCTTTGCCTATCCCCCTCCTGTTTAGTATCCCCTCCAATCACGATCTCATCTGTTAGGCATAATATGATTCACTTTTTACGGCAGCCAGCTATTAGCTCTCCGTAACAATGTCCATCCGTTACTGGGGACTCAGCGGACGTGCCACTGTTTTCCTTTTCTTGTCTTTTGTATTGCGGCACAATAGCTGAGTGTTTTCCACTTCCAGCTAACGTGTACTGATGATGATGATGATGAATACTAAACTGAAAGCCGTATTATGACGTATGTTCACTCAGCAAAGTGACTCGCCCCTACAGATATTAAATTTGCAATGGAATATCGATGGTCACACACTTTTTCGGAGCTCCAGACGGGCGACGCCTGCAACCACAGTTTGACATAATCGTCCTTTTAGTCTTCTGTGGTTTAACGTAGCCGGCCGACGTGCATGCATTTCTACAGCCGACCATACAGGAATGTAAGGTAGGCATAGTGTTTTAATTTAGTATTTAACGCGTCAAAGCTCAAATTATTTGCGTCTTCGCTGACGCACATTAAGAGGCTATGTGAAAAAAATCTTATAGAGCACTCGGGATATTTTAAGTGCAAAAAACGCACCGCCGAAGGTACGTATTTTTATGATTATAAGGTATAAACCTGCCATCGTATATAGAGCTAGCATGAATTTTCTGGTCACTTCGGAGTATGTCATGTGGAACAAAAATGGTTTCCGCTCTAGACGACAAAGTGAGTGTCATTTTTAGTGCCACAGAATTCGTGGACTCCAGCGAAGCCGTTGCACTTGCCAGCTGGCCGGTGGGCAGTGGTCACGTCTGGTGTTTTAGGATGTCTTCACGGCGAATACAGTCTTTTACTTAACTGCAGTCCCCCGCCATAATCAGCTCTTGTGTATAAGATGAGGACTCACAGTTGCACCGGAAAACCTACAAAAATACACACAAAATCTCTTGCCGCTTGCTAAGCAAGATCCAAGAAATTCAACAACGTGTTACTGGAACTGTCGGAGTCTCCTTTCAGCAACCAACCGTTTTCCATGGAGCGTGGCGGCAAAAACTAAGTGAATGTACAAATGATGTTTAGTTTATTTTCAGCATTCCCGCCCGTTTTTTGGACAGAGACTGCACTTGTGGATTTGCGTCCATGCCCCACCTACACTGTCGACGTTGATGACTCACCAGTTACCCCTCACTCAAGTTTAATGATGCAGGAATATTCACTGAATAATGACCAAAATATCGTCGATACATTGTACAATACGCCTGTGTTGTGCCAGAAAACAGCATTAATTACCCCGTTATACATGCCTTAACTATCTATTGAAGCCTTATGGTTAAATAAAGAAACGGATGATTCTAGGTACAGCCTTAATAGCATGTGCAGCAAGTTGTGACAAGTAACCTGTATTATGCCATAACAGTCAGATTTGACCAACCTACTTCTGCTTTCGTCGGGAAATGCGAACGCAATCATTCCCTTGAGTTGAAACTGAGCTCCATGAATGGACAGATGGCCAGCGACATTTTATGAGACAATACACCAGTCCCAATATCGATTTCTCCGTGGAAGAGCTCATCACATTTAACGCGCAACTGAAGGTTCTTATCCAGTATAGAGAGAATGGTCATATGTATATCCACATGTCACCAGTGTTAGATGGAGTACTTGGCAGATGTCGGTAATATTTCATTTTTGGAATGGATGCGCCATATCCTGAAATCTTTATTGACAAATCTTTAATACGCTAGGTAATCTGGCGAACGAGGATGCATCTATTCCTACAAAGTCGCAACACTTCCAAATGCCTACTACTAAGTGTACATGCCATATAAACAAGCGCTTCGATTATGGACTGGAAAATCTGAATGTTTGTCTCAGCTAAGTGGAACGGAACTCAAGGAATGGTTGCTTTCCTCTTGATCACAAAGCCTGAGCTCAAATTACAGCAGTCTCAGTGCTACATACAGTTAGTCTGAAAAAGAAAGCCGATTATCGTTCATTTGCCTACCCTGGCTCGTTTATGGTGAACGCCGGTCATTTACGGTTTTTGTCCCCAACAACCAATGGCCATCCGATGTTTAGCGAAATTCGCAATATGCTACTGCGCGTGCAGATACACGAATTTCTCTCTCACCTTAGTGGTGCGAAAGTATGGAATTCTTGGCAGACGAATGATTTAGTGCGGGGCTCAGCTGAGAAAAACGTAATCTCCAAAGACACACTGACTTGAGACTGTTGATCAGCGAGCAAGCAGCAACCTGTTTCCGGCTGTCAGCTAAATTCGCGCTGAGTGCTGTATGTCAAGGCCAACCGTAGGCGTTGGAGCGATCGATGATTATATCTAGTGTCTCGCTGGCTATGCGGCGAAGTCTGCTTAAGCGACCGAAACTGCAACGTGCATGTGCGCACGTGATGGCAGCTCAGCTGAAGAGGAGGTTACACATTGCAACCCTTGTCAGTGTTATTTAATCACAGGTAATGGAGCACGAGCAGTCAATGCAGTCGGGAGCACGTTACGTTCCTGTTACAAAGCGCGCGTTGACTATTCGTCTGTACGGTAAATGCGGTTTAAACGTGGCATCAGCTTCAAAAAATACACTACAATGAACTCAGGAATGTGTCCTGTCACCGCCCGATACGTGTTTAAACTAGTGAAGAAGATGGAGCAAACTGGGTGTGTGTGACATGAAGAGAACCGGACCGCCAAGCATCACCATGGACGACTTTTCAGCTTGCGCTGTAGTTAGTGAAGTGGCAAAATTCCGATCTCAGCATTCGTCGGATCGCACAGCACTGTGACACGACCCAAAATGCGGTACACCGGATATCGTAGGAGCGCTGCTTAGGTGCGGAGTCCGAAAATAGCCATGTCACGTCATTCTTACTGGATGTTAGAAATAAAATCTTGTTGGTATCCCAATGAATTATTTTTGGAGGCTCCCGAAAATACACTACGACAGTAGGGCAGAAAGATTGCACAGGGAAAACACAGGTGGTGTTTGGCTAGATGGTATAAGCCAGGGTTCAAGGTAAGTTGTCCATTGATTGTATACACATCAATAGCTGTTGAATGATGTGGTTAGCGTCACATGATTGTGGATAGTATCTTCCCTGTGCGAAGAGAAATTAGCTAAAAATAGCAAAATAAGTTAAAGCTCCTACACACCTCCCCATCAGTGCGGTAGCCGCACGGTGATAAGCGACCAGGAGTAAAAAACCCGGTGGGAATTGCCGGGAAAATTGACCTCTACCTGATACAGTGTCGCTTAAAATGCCCGAGGCTGAGGCACAGGAGGCATGCAGGTAAAGTTGTTAGCGAAGATACAATGAAAATGTGGGAGCAGAATGTAGTAGTGCAACAAGGATGTTTGAGTTGCGTGTGTTGTCCGACTCAATCCTTCTGCCTTTTGTCGACATGAGAATGTTCTTATTCATGCTAAGGTTGTTCTTTCCTTTCCTGGCAAACACTGGAAAGCAACAAGCAGGAAAGAAAACTGACAGCAGGTAGTATAACAAGATAGACAGCATGGCAATTTGTTATTCTCAAGATGTCTAATACGCTAGACAGTCTGGAAAATGAACTTTTCTACCTGACCGTGTTTGCCGCGTACTAGTCTCTTTTGGCTTAGCTTCAGATGTTGATGATTGAGGATCATTTTCAAAGTGCTTTGATGAATCCTGCGTACATATGGTGTTTTTAAAACCTGTCGATTGTTTTTCACAAGGTTGTTCTATATACGCTGGCTTGAGTCGATCTACCGAAACTACATCGACTTTACCATTCCTGTTGATCATATGATGTTTTTCTGTTCTAGCGATCACCTCAAATGGCCATTCGTACGGTGGTTGTAGAGGCCTGCGGACTGCATCGTTTCGTAGATACACATGTGAACAAGTTGTCAGATCTTTTGGTATATAACACTTGTTAGGTTGTGCTCGTGTGGCAGTGAAAGGCAGTTCACGCATGGATGAAAGTAAGCGATGAACAAAGTTTGAGGGTTCTAGAGCGTTGAAGTCGATGGGTTGAACAAGATCAGCCGGGAGCTTTAGCGTGGCATCGTATACTAGCTCCGCGGCAGAGCAACTCAAATAAGCTTTAAACGTCGTTCGTAGACCTAATAGAACCAGCGGTAAGTTTTCTGTCCAACGGGTAGTGTCGGAACATGCCAGCAAAGATGTTTTGAGGTGGCGGTGAAAACGTTCGACTAACCCGTTCGCTGTTGGATGGTACGCAGTTGTTTTTATTCGCTTAGCTCCGAGAATATTAGTGAGATCTCGAAAGAGGGTTGATTCAAATTGCGCACCGCGATCCGTTGTTATGGTGGATGAGACACCATAATGTGCGATCCAATGAGCCACAAAGTTACGTGCTACCGTCTCTGCGGAAATGTCTGCGATGGGTAATGCCACGGGCCAACGAGTGTAATGATCGATGTAAGTAAGTAGGTACTTAAATCCACACGACGGCGGCAGCGGACCGACGGTGTCGATGTGCACGTGACTAAAACGAGCATCGGGAACGGTGAACTCGCAAAGAGGTGCCTGTATATGGCGGTGCACTTTTGAACGCTGAAATGGGAGACAATTCCTCACCATGCTCTGCAAGTCTTTGTTCAGTGCCGGCCATACAAAACGATCGGAAATGAGTTTGCGCGTTGCACGGATGCCTGGATGTGGTAGACCATGTAATGAATCAAACATGATTCGCCGATAGGTCGGTGGAACTGCAGGTCGTGGCTTTCCTGTAGAAACGTCACACATCAGAACACCCGAACTATCAGGCAGCTGGATGGGTTTCACCTGTAGATCAGTTTCTCGAAGTAGTTGAATAAACTGCTTATCCTGATGTTGTGTTGTGGCTAGTTCTTGAAGATCAATGGGGGAATGCTCAAGGAGGGTATTGATTTCCGCCCGTGATAGGGCATCTGCTACGGTGTTGTTCACACCGGACAAATGCCGAATGTCGGAGGTAAATTGGGAGATATAATCTAGTTGTCTAGTTTCTCGTGGGGAAAGTCGATCAGAAGCAGAACGCAGTACATACGTTAACGGCTTGTGACCGGTGAATAGCGTAAATGTACGCCCTTCCAAGTAATGTCGGAAATGACGCACATTGAGATAAATAGCTAGGAGTTCTCTGCTGAGCGTACTATAACGTCGTTCGGCAGGCTGCAGTTTCTTAGAGTAAAAGGCAACTGGATACAATTCACCTCCCTGTCGCTGTTGGAGCACACCACCTACTGCTGCATCTGAAGCGTCCATCGTTAACTGTAACGGAGCCTTAGGATCAAGATGCAAGAGGAGAGTGGCAGTTGCTAGCTGATGTTTTAGATCACTGAATGCCCGCTTAGCTGATTCCATGAAGCTGAATGATTTAGCATCTAATTTGAGTAGCTCGGTAAGTGGCTGGGCTAACTCAGAACAGTGTGGGATGAAACGTCTGTAGAAGTTAACCATGCCTACCAACCGACGTAACTTTTTGATAGAATCTGGGATAGGGTATTCAGTGATGGTTGTCACTCTGTCGGGTAGGGGTGTAATTCCGGCGGAGGAAACACGGTGACCAAGAAAGTCTACCGTATCAACACCAAACTGACTCTTGGAGGCATTGATAACCACCACATAATGCGCAAATCGCTCGAACAGTTGTCGCAGATGACGCAAGTGTTCGTCATGGTTATAACTTGCAACCAAGACATCGTCAATGTAGACGAAAACAAAATCGAGGTCACGAATAACCTGATCCATAAAAAGCTGAAAAGTTTGAGCTGCATTGCGGAGACCAAATGGCATTCGCAAGAACTCAAATAAGCCAAAAGGTGTAGTAACGGCAGTCTTATGAACATCTTGAGGATGGACAGGAATTTGGTAATATGCTCGTGCTAAATCTATCTTACTGAACACGTGTTTTCCGTATAGCGAGGAAGATAAATCCTGGAGATGCGGAATGGGATACCTGTCTGGGACGGCGTTAGCGTTTAGTCCCCGATAATCCCCACAAGGTCTCCAATCCCCAGGCTGGTTTTTCGGGACCATATGACTGTGGCACGACCCGATATGCGGTACACCGGATATTACTGGAACGAAAATTTCGGAGGTGCCGTGCACTTCAAGTGCAGGTTTTGAACCCATGCGATCCGGAGAAGCGGCATGCATTTTGCCTCAGGTTTCTGTATCACGAGGTTATTCGTTCCGTTATCTATACAAATGAGGCATTGTTTCATCCGCATGGAACCATGGAAAATTGCTGTTGAGCTACAAGCAACCCACGAAAAATTACCGCATCACGTATGAACCACAGTATGAAACTGATGGTTTGGGCCGGATTAACAAGCCAGAAAATCTTGGGCCCATATTGCATTTCTAGGAATGTGATCGGCAGGTTGTTGTTTTGAAGTACTAAAGCCATATCTTTTCCTAACGTTGTCGTATTCGGAAATGCTGCAGATATTTTTGCTGCCCCAGTTGGAGGCTTAAGGGACATGCAGTATTAATTGGTGGCTGCAGGATGGTGCACCAGCAATTCTGCTAAAACTGTGCGTGCCTAACTCACCGCCAGCTTTGTCCGCCATTGGATCGGACGCGGTGGATCAATGGAGTGGCCTGCTCGCTCACCAGATTTGAACCCCATGGACTTTTTCTGTGGAGCTACCTGAAGCGGCGTACATTGGATCAAGTGAAATAAAATATTTTTAACGAATGTCGCGCGATCACGATGGATACCTTAGAGAAAGTGCTCGGCAGTTGCATCAAGCGGCTTCTGCACTGTAAGCAGAATACAGCCGGACATTTTGAATATATACTTCACTAGCATATATGTTCCTTGCAATACATTTCTAATAATCTACTTATGGTCTTTCACGAATGTGTTAACGACTAAACTGTTCCGCTGGCAAATGGTGCTAATGATGCGTCCGGTCGGATAGAATACTTTATGTCAAGGCTGTCGTTGAGTACGTAAATAGCATAGACACCGAAACTTTCAATAGGTACTAATGGCGAAATCACTGAGTCGCGGTGTGCTGCGGTTCGTCCAGCTTTAATGAGAAGCCAACTGTGTTGTTTACTCAGTTTCAGGCTATTGCCTGTGAAGTTGGTGTGCGGGATGAGTTGAAGTAGGTGGCAACATGTGTACGTGGGGAGTTCCGTATCTGGTAGACTCATATGAGGTCTCCACGTAGCCCCCTCTAATGTCTACTGAACACTACGAGTGTTTTTAGTCACTGCTCGACCATGGTGAGTTCCAAGCGCTGCAAGTTCACGGTTTAGACAAGCGTGCCAAGCCTGGATAACGTATTTGACGTGTTAGCGCACGTAAGCATTGAGCATCATAGCGCAGATGAATGAATCCAAATTTCGAATGCCATCCACAAGCTAACAACGTGCTGATTACCACTTTTTGATTCCGACTGTTTGGAATAACCGAAGTCGTCCTGCACCAGCACACCGAGGTCAAGTTCCTGAGGGTTTGTCTGCAAATCATATGCCCCAATATTCTAGAGATAGGCGCATCTATGACAGTTGTGGATAATTTGTCACTAAACACATTAAATGGCAGTGAATTCCTCACCAGTCAATACCAAGTCTCATCTATGTCGCACATAGAGGCTGTTGAACCACGGCCAAAATTTAACGCCATCCGGAAAAGTAAAACTTTCGAGGTGACTGATCTCGCAAGGTCGTCGCACTCCACTCGATTAGAGTCGGGCAGAGATGTTCGGTCTCTAACATAAACTGCTGTTCACGGAGAAAAGTACCAACCCATCCTAATAATGCATTGCTTACGTTTTCCAGGTAGCCCATCATTACGTCAGCGGTGATCGTATCCATGACTTTGGTTAGCGAAGAGAGAAGTGTTACCAGACAGTAACTGGTAGGATCAGACAGACTTCTCTGAAAGAATCAGGCAAGTGGCCGGGCTAGGTGCATGGCTGCTGCCTGCCGTGATTTCGTGTGAAGCTTATCCAAGGAAAGTAACTTTTCCAGAACCACTGTTGCTATGAATTTGATGCTGGATAACACTGGTGGTGTTGGGACAGAAGCAAGTACAATGTTTGAGGCTATTACGCCTTGGAAAGTAGGTCAGTACTGAGTAATGAGGGGTTGTCCACCTTTTTGTTGCGTGTGTATACCCACCAATCGTATTGGGTGGTGCGAATCCACGCTGTAACTTTCGAAGTTCATTAACGTATCGGTAAATAAGGCTGCGGTTTTACCGGAATTGTTCTGCCAGATCCAGTCGGTGTGATAACCTCTTTTCACGAACAAACAGTACATATTAATTGCTCAGATCTACGTACGTTGTCTAATTCTCCGCGTCAGGATTGTTTATGTGAAGTCGGCATATGTTCCCTCAACGCCATAGCTCTTCATAATTGGCTTCTGATTAATCATGTTGGTTTCATGTGATGGTCGCAAAGTTTTGCTCCGATGCCACGGTGACTAGTGATGTGGTTTCCTACAATTTCTCTTAGATTATCTCTAGGGTGCACTCAGTTATGTGTGTCCAAATGCCTTGCTAAAAACACAAAACGTAAGGCTACGATCACAGAATTGCAAGGTTTGACGTCATTCGCTACGACGAATACACCGATGCAGAGCCCGAAAAATGCAATATATTTCTCACTATCTGGTTCTGTCCGCATTCGGAACAAACAATTTGTATATACCGTGGTATATATCGGCGTTTGATGAAGCATTTCGTATTGGTTTACCAGACCTCGAGGCATGCAAGCGCTTTTGCCGACAGCTGATATTACAGTACTAAAGTACTAAAATATGAGGTCATAAGCTAAACAAGCAACAATTTATAGCCTGCTGGCGTGCCATCAAAATTTGTTATTTTCAAAGATTCCTTCAAAAAAACCGTTTGACATGTTTCGATATGCGAACAAGGAACGATGCAAACGCACACGCAGCGGAGCATTTGGTTGTTTTATTAGCAGTTTCTTCACTGTTTGTACGGCTCTCTCCGCCAACCCATTAGAAGAAGGATGATAGGGTGCAGTTGTTATGTGTTTAATGCCGTTCGAGTTGAGGAAGGTAGAAAACTCAACACTGGCGAAAGCTGGTCCATTATCAGATACTAATGTCTCGGGAAGGCCAAATGTTGCAAACGTTGTGCGTAGTTTCTCTATAGTCCCAGCTGAATTTGCTGAAACAAGAATATGGGCATCAATCCCTTCAGAATGGGCATCGATGATTAGCAAAATCATCCGACCTTCTTAGGGACCGAAATAGTCTACGTGGACTCGTTTCCAGGGTGTTTCTGGCCACTTCCAAGGCTGCATTGGCGCATGAAGAGCGGCGTTTCGGGTCTCCTGACAAGGTCTTAAAATTCCAACCTTCGCCAAAATATCACGGTCCAAATTAGGCCAACACACATAAATTCGAGCTAACGACTTCGTCTTTGCGACACCTGGATGCGCATCATGTAGTTCCTCAAGGATACGTGACCGAACTTTTTTGGGGACAATAACTCATGCGCCCCACAGCAAGCATTCATTCTGGAGGCTGAGTTCAGACATCCTGTTACGGAAGGGCATGAGTTCTTTGGGGGTGTTGTCCGGCCACACAACATGGACATAGTGTTTGACCAGCGATAGAACAGAGTCTCTGTAAGATTTCTGACGTATGTCTGTACATGTGACTGGGGAATCATTAAAATGCTGGACCGGTTTACGAGCTCTTTTGGAACAAATTCTTTCGATGGTGTCTCTGTTACGGGAAGCCGGCTATGAACATCAGCGGTGGTATGCTGTTTGCCTGGAACGTACTGAATTTCGTATGTATACGCAGAAAGAATAAGCGACCAACGTACCTTTCTAGGTGAAGCCATTTGTTGAATTCCTTTCTCGTGGCGTAGGAGGAAAATAAGGGGTTTATGATCCCTATGGATCACGAAAGGTCGTCCGAGTACATATTGGTGAAATCAAGTGGTGCCGAAGATGACAGCGGCTGCCTCTCGATCAAGTTAAGAGCAGTTCCGTTCTGCTGGTGTCAGGGTTCTTGAAGCATAAGCAATGGGACGTTGAGCGCCATCCGGTAATTTGTGCATTGAAACAGCTCCAAGACCGTAAGGTGAGGCGTCACAAGAAAGAACAACAGGCTTCTGCGGATCATAATGCACCAGAACATCTGTAGATGCTAAGAGCTTCTTGACGGCTTTGAATGCGTTTTCATGAGTATTGTTCCAATTCCAGCTATGGTTTTTACGTAACAGCTGGTGAAGGGGATGCAGATGAGTTGCTGCCGATGGTATAAACCTGGAAAACTGAGTGACAACACCGAGGAACGACCGCAATTCATGAACATTTTTGGGTGC